CTATAGGCTAGTATTTGGGGGAAACAATTCATCACGCAAAATCCTTGCTGACTCTATGGGCTGGTCCTGATGGACGCGGTAACAAGACTGTGGTAGACCCCTCTGTGGCAGCGATGAACTTGGCCCTTTATGTTATCAGCGGTGCAGGTTTCGACGTGCGCGTAGCATGGCCACATGAAGACGCAAAGAACCAAGTAGATAATAAATCCGGTGACGACGCCATCTTCGTGTCTGCCAAGCCGCCGCCTGGTCATACAATGAGCTATCGGGAGGCTCTTAGTATACTGCTTCATCACATGCTCTGGACAGTGGTTTTCCCTCTCCATTGGCTCCGTAAGCTCAAGCTCTCTCTCTCTCTATAGTTGTCGTATCTTATTGGGGTAGAAGGCTAACACGTTTCGATAGCATGGTCCCCAGTCGAGATTCACCGTAAAGTCGGTGTGGCTGTGAGTGAATGGGGCAATTACATGGACGACATCTATCAAGCCAAGAAGAAACAAGTCATCTCTGGTGATAACAAGGAAGGCATGGATATTTTCAACGCCTTGATCCGTGGAAGCGGCATCGCCGACCCCAAGAACACGACTGTCACTACTAGCGACCTATTCGGCAACGCTTTTGTGCTCATCCTCGCTGGTCACGAAACAACAGCCAACGCACTACACTTTTCTTTGCTACTCCTGGCAATGAAATGGCATACACAGAAGAAACTACAGGAGGATATTGACAATGTCTTTGGTGGGAAACCAATGGACCAGTGGAATTACGAGGAGCATTTTCCGAAGCTCTTTAGCAGTATGCCCGCAGCAATCTTGAATGAGACGCTCAGACTTTTACAGCCAATTACCAACATTCCGAAGTCGACAGCACCCGGACGACCCCAGCAGCTCACCATAGATGGTCAACAGTATACCATACCCGGAGACACGCGCATCTTGTTCAACTCAGCTATCCATCGCAATCCAAAGTACTGGCCGCCGCCAGCGGACAAACCCAACAAGCCTGGATTCAACGATGCTGACTACTTCAGACCGGAACGCTGGATCGTAGATGCTAAACCCACAGAGGAGTTTGTCGACCATGAGTACGATGACGAAGACCTGCGTGGCCCCTCTGGCGAGGACACTTCTTCCCTGCTCTTCAAACCAGTCAAGGGCTCTTACATTCCGTTTAGCGACGGCTACAGATCCTGCATCGGACGACGCTTTGCACAGGTCGAGATGATGGTCGTGTTGGCGGCTATCTTCTCGCAATATAGTGTTGAATTTGCAGTTGAAGACTGGGCCACTGATGAAGAGGTGGAGAAAATGCCAAAGGGAGGCAAGGAAAGAAGAGAGCTGTATCAGAAGGCCATTGATCGAGCACAGTACAAGCTCACGCACGAGATGGGAAGCATCATCACCCTGCAGTTGAGAGGCAGTCCTGTTCCTATCAGGTTAATGAAGAGGGGCGAGGAACGATTTGCTTTTGATTAGAACATGCCATGTTGTAGTGCTAGTATCCGTTTGTTAGAAAGAGGAAAGAGACTGTCATGATAATGTGTACGATTGAAGTTACCTTAAGCATGCATGCCTCTGCTGTAAGCTACCCCGCATCACGTCACGACATGTCAACAGCTACCCCACCAACACGGTCATGTCGATGAATCCGGCATTGCATATGCGAGCATTTGTCATCTTCAACGCCCCGTGTTCATATAATACACGTCCTGAGAACTTGGGCGGACAATACAAGACACTTCACCATGGCACCACCTAGTTTCCCACCAGAAGAGCTCCGCCACATAGTTCAAGAAGTAGCCACGCTTCTGAAAGAGCGCAAAGAAACAGTTTCAGTAGCGGAAACCGTAGGCCACCTTGGCAAATTCTGACATAGCTATCCCATTCTAATCACAAAATTCGCAGGCAGCAGGTGGACTCCTCTCTGCAACGCTCCTCTCCTTCCCAGGCGCCTCAACCTACTACCGCGGCGGCTTAACCCTCTACACGCTCGAATCGCGCATCGCATTCGCAGGCTGGACGCAAGAAACGATATCCTCGTACAGCGGCCCCACGCCGTCCATCGTCTCAGGTCTTGCCGAACACACGCGCAGCACACTCGGCAGCACATACACGGTAAGCGAGAGCGGGACAGCTGGACCTACGGGGGGAAGCACTCGCAACCGCACGCCAGGCTATGTGGCTCTTGCAGTGGCGCGCTCAGGTGGTGCGACGGTGACGCGGGAGGTGGAGACGGGCAGTTCAGAGCGCGAGGCGAACATGGTGGCCTTTGCGCTGGAGGGGTTGAGGTTGCTAAGGGATGTGATCAAGGGGGAGGAGGTGGGCAAGCTGTGATTTGCACTGCATTTCTGATTCATGTCATCATAACATAAGTTAGCCAAGTGAGTCAATCCGTGCGAGATGGGTGGGGAGGCGAAGGATGGGGAAGGGAGGGGCTCCTAGGTACCGGGTCCTTGGTTTGTTGTCGGCTTGATTGGGAAGGTTGAGCTGGTGTTAACCCATGTTCCATGCAGGTTCAAATGTCTATGCTTGCTCTTTCCCATCATCCCAGTTGTCGTATTCGCCGTATCGCATCCTTCTGTCGCTTGTTCAGGACGGCCATGTCTCAACCCGGCTTTGCTTCACTCCTTCGATCATGAGACGTGGTGTGGTGGGTGGGGGTGGGTCGGCTGATACGAAAACGATGCGAGATTCTTCGCCTTAAACCAAGAGTCCGGGAATCCCCCCCCACTCAGGAAACAACAGGCGTCATGCTCTTAAAGATCCGCTCCAGCTTGCCCCCATTTCCGCAATCCGAGTGGCTAGTGGGTTTACTTAGCCGAGGATCCTGACATACCTAGGTATGCACGGAAGAGGCGTACATGTAGCACAGTTCGTTCTACCCCTTCGTGACCACCATCCGTTCTATCCACTGCCAAGCACGTTTTATTTCCTTGAACATACCATGCATTTCTCTGGCCTAGGATTTAGAATCATCCCACTTCCTTCGTTCCCCCGCGCCGCATGCACTGTGCCCCTGTTCCACATCTACCTCTAGAGCTTCTAGAGGTTGGGTTTTTGTTCCCAGAAGGATCATTCTAGGAATGAGGCGGTTAAATGGGGTAAGTGGGGGGGGTTGGCATCTCCACCACGTGTTTTGGTCTTGGTTATGCAGCCCTACCTTGGGGAACGGTAGGGGCGCGGATTGGGGGGGAAATTCTCTCTCGGGGCGTGAAGAATAGCGAGAGTCCGATGTGGCGTGAGGTTGAATTAGACTCGATAAAAGTTCTCGTCTGTTGAAACGTGTTGAGGTGAAGGGGTGCATCGATGAGTATGGATTGATGGGGGTTGGAAGACCTGGTACGTCGTCATCGGTATATGTGAAAACAGGGTATAAGAGTACAGTTTCGAGGTGCGTCATTGCCACCGTTGACGATCGGTCAGTTGTTATAATCCACTCAGTTATACTATGAGAATGTATTCTATTTCCCACTTACAGCATGGGTCCTCCACCACTCGCGCGAAATCTGGGGTCCAGAAGCTCGTACTTTCGATCCTCAGCGCTAGCTGTCCAACAATGAACAATACATCGCTGACAATGAGAAAAAATAATGGATTCCTGTACGCTGAAGTTTTTCACCCGTCCTTGATATACCTTTTCGAAATATCTTCTTGTCTTCCCTTCATTCGCATCTTACTATGCAAACTTCTGCAATCAATTCAGTTTGGAGCTGGCTATGCCTTCTGTCCAGACCAAAGCATTGCAAAGATAGAAATCCCAAACATGGCAGCAACTGTTATACGAGATCATAACGTCCAGCCCGTGTACCCAGGACGGGAGTGGAGGTGGAGGTAGAAAGCTTATTTCACTGTGGTACCGCATTCATGGGACGTGTTCGTTGAAAAACTGACTAACAGAAGCAGTACGCTAGTCACATCGTACTGCAACAAAACGGCATAACAGGTGGATGACGAGGACCTTACACCCTCTCCCACCCCCTCACTCCGCTCTCATCTTTCGCTACAAGGGGGCTGACTGGGTCCCTATCCCACATCCCCACCCATCCTCCTCCGATGTAAATGCCTTATCCTCACCTCGACCCCCCAGCCCCTCACTTTTCTCGCTATCATCTTCGCCGTAGCAACACTGCGATGCGTACCCATCACACAACTCGTCAGCACAAGCGCCTCATGTCCTCCTCCCACACTTTTGAACAGAAACCTCTGTATCACCGCTACAACCCTATCACTACAATCTCCGTCAGTAACATCCACTTGCTTCCCATGATCATAAAAACACGAGAAAGATAAGATGGGAAAATGAGTACGTACATCCTTCTAACAACATCCCTTCTCCCCATCATCCATGCCTTTACTTCTACACTCACACCACTGAATTTAGCACACATTTCCTGTGGCGGCGGTTCCCAGTCGTGGCAGTGGATCTGCCGAATCAAGGGGATGTTAGGGGGCAGCTGGGCGTGGAAGTCATGTAAGGCGTATGGGCTGTGGGATAGGGTTGAGGAGGAGTAGGTGATAAGATGGATGATTTTGACGGGTTGGGAGCGCTGAATGTGGAGTTGGGATTGTCGGACAGGGGAGTGTTGAGGAAAGAGGAAGGACCGCTGAAGGAAGATATGGGGTTGGCCTTGTGGTTGGAAAACAGGGGTTGGAAGTAGGACTGCTGGATTGGAGGCAGGAGCGGTGGGAGACGAGGAGCCAGTGGTATTGGTGCTCGTACTCGAACTGGAACTTGTATTTTTTGTCCATAGTTTAGGGCCGGTATCTGTCGCAGTGGAAGCGGAGATTCGACTGCTTCTGCAACTTCACGAGGCGATGCAATTTCCACGCGTGCATGTACAGAAACTATGTCCATGTTCTACAATTACGGTTGATTTGTAGTTTCCGCGCAAAAACAAGGCCACCAGCGTATTCATATACTCGTACACTGTGAATCCTGCCGTCAACATATGGCTGTGAATAGGCGTTCATGTCATAGAAGAGCGCTGTTGAATACCATCCTAGTGATATTTGTCATTTTGCTTTTGTCAGACGTGAAGGTTTGGTATTGTACGTAGTTAGTGTTTGGAGACGTTGACGTGTTGGATTTTCAAACGATACGTGTACACCCCCCCCCCCCCCCCATGCGTACACGGTAATTGACACGCGGAGTTTGTGATGAAATGATGTTTGTTACCAACCTTCCTACAATTCTTACAGTTCTTTCCCTCTCTTTCTCTCTGATTTTCTACACTGCATACACCACCGCACAATCATCGCTGGCCGTCGCAAACCGACGAGATAATAATACTTCCTCGACTCACATGTACACACTCCCAAAAAGGCCGTTGGTCACATCTCCAATACCGCTTTCACCTCACAGTGCAAAAATATACCAACATGATACACAGACCAGACAACATCCAAAGTAGAGAAAAAGCAGCAAAAAGGGCCTTTGTAGAAACACGCATACCGCGCGCACAGAGAACAAGAATCAGAAGCCTAAAATTCAACATGCCAAACCAGTCCAAGCCAGGCCGTTCCAAAACCAAGCCAAAGTCAAGTCAAACAGACAAATCTTCCACCCTATACCAAGGGCAGCAGACCACCTCTGCTCCAAGATAAAAAACGCCCATATAGCCCTCCTGGGCCGTGCGTCTGCCGTACATGCGTGTGTGCGTGCGTAATGGTAGTATAGAGTTATAGAAGCATACGCCTCCAGGGCTCTCTTTCCTCGAAAGAGTCACTATGATACAATTCCCCTTTGCGCATTTGCCGCACAAAATCTGATTTGGACGCCGAGAAATGATGATGATGAGAGAACATGCATACCAGTGCATCGTAAGGGATGCGTCTTGAACTTTGCGTACTCAAACTGCGGCACGACGATGTTGTTGTTACGGGAATTAGGATGAGATAGGTGTAACAGGTTGGTTAAGAATAGTGTTCTCGTAATCGTTTCGCGTCAACTATTTTCGCGTGGGCGGTAGGCTGTATGGCGTTTATGAAGGTGCCATTCCCTCCATGGCTCCGCGCTCAAATTCTTCCAGTCGCTTCAGCTTGGCTTCAAGCTCTGTGAAGATATCGCCCATGTGACATGCTTGTTGAAGCAGAGGCGCAGCACCAAATGGCCGAATCATGTGACGAAGGGCAAGAGTATTTGCACAAGACTACCATACTCGTTAGTGTCGGCATACATACCCAGAAACAGTCGACTTACCTCGATTCTAGAGATCTGGTGCTCCACAAAGTTGATCAAGAATCGGTCCGTAATCTCTCCGCCTCTGCTCTTCATCCTCTCCAACAATGCCGTCTCTGGAGGCTTCAACTCTACACACCCGGGGCTCTCGAGCGAACTGCAAAGCATTTCCAGGCGCAGACTAATGTTCCAGAGATCCCATACATCTTCCGTGTCGATGGTGAGTTGGCTCCCTGCCATCTTCTGACCGACTATAGCCTCCGTCTTCTGCTCTGCTGGTTTCTGTTCTGTCTGTCGCCTAACGGAAGCTAATGGCAAGGTAGATGAATTCGAGAGATAATGAATAGGAAATGTAAAGAGCTTTCACGAGGCGATTTGCGAAGGCGTTGCCCTAGGAGTTCTAGACGGAGAAGGTGG